AGAGATAATTGTGAAACATTTTTATGAAATGAAAAGATACATAGAGTTAGGGAATTTATCTACCTAAAAGGGATATATTTTTTAAAGTCATTGTATTTTTTATTATTTTAATGTGTGATCACACAAAGAGATAATATTTTCTTTAAAAGAATGTCCAATATTAAATTTATGATATGACACTTTGATTATTTTGATAAAACTAATAAAGATATAACTTGATTAAAGTTTTATCTATTTAGATCATTGATTGGCCTTTGTATTTAATTTCAATATGCTGGGAAAAATATCATTATAAGTCAATATATTGACATGAGTGATAAGTTCTTGGATGTTTTGTACAACATAATAAATACATAAAAATTTATCACATTTTGGGATATACATTTGCTGTTTAGTAGTTTATGATAGCTAAAAAGGTTAGCTTCCACATAAGAAAGTTTTAGACCTGTTATGATATCTCAATTAACTTAAGTAAAATTAAGAGTTATTGAAATATAATTTAATAAATATTTGTTTTAGTTGTTTAACTCTCAATTAAGATATTGGTTTGATTATTTTAGTTACCATTATTAAATCTAGTAGTTATCGATTTTAAAGGGCATATTATTGTCATTTGTTAACAATGTATTTTTTAAAAAAATTAATATATTTTTTTAAAAACTCACACATGAGGGAGAGAATATTATTTTATACTTATCACATGTATGAGAGTTTTAGGGAATAAAGTTTTGTAAAACTAAGCAAAACTATTTGTTTTGTTTTATTAGTTCAATTATTTCCTAGATAATCTTTCTCAAATTAAAACTTAGAATGCCCATTATGATTTTATACACCTTAAAATTTTTCAAATAATATTCCACAAAGGTACATTTATATTAGTATATCACTTGGAGTGATTACATGTATAAATAAATATAAAAAATCAGTAAAACTATAATGATAATGAAATTTCTTATGTTGTTATGAATTGTCTCTAAGTTACTACCTAATTTACTATATGTGATTACCTACCCAAATGAAGTGATTATATGTTTTTAAATTAGAGATAATTGTGAAACATTTTTATGAAGTGAAAAGATACATAAAGTTAGGGGATTTATTTGCCTAAAAGGGATGTATTTTTAAAAGTTATTGTATTTTTCATTATTTTAAAGTGTAATCACATAAAGAGATAATATTTTCTTTAAAATAATGTCCAATATTAAATTTATGATATGGCACCTTGATTGTTTTGATAAACTAATAAAGATATAACTTGATTAAAGTCTTATCTACTTAGATCATTGATTGACCTTTGTATTTAATTTCAATATGCTGGAAAAAATGTTATTATAAGTCAATGTTTGCCATGAGTGATAAGTTCTTGGATGTTTTATACAACATAGTAAATACGTAAATTATTAGTCACTTTAATTTATCACATCTGGGGATATACATTTGTTGTTTAGTATTTTATGATAGCCAAACGGGTTCGCTTCTACACAAAAAAATTTTAAACTTATTATGATATCTCAATTTACTTAAGTAAAATTTAGAGTTGTTGAAATATAATTTAATAAATATTTATTTTAGTTGTTTAACTTTCAATTAAGATATTGGTTTGATTATCTTAGGTACCATTATCAAACTTAGTAGTTATCAATTTTAAAGGACATATGTTGACAATGTATTTTTAAAAAAATTTAATATTTTCCTTTGAGGAACTCACATGTGAGGGGAAAAATATTGTTTTACATTTATCACATGTGTGAGAGGTTTGAAAAATGAAATTTTGTAAAAATAAGTAAAACTCTTTATGTTGTTTTATTAATTCAAATTTTTCTTAATAATCTTTCCTAAATTTTGTTGATTTACTTGTAAGAGAGAATAAGAATTTTATAATTTTTTCTCATTTCACTTCCCTTCTTGTTTTAATTTATATATGAATTAATTTTGAGAATTACTTTAAAGAATAATAATATAAAGGCTTTGATTTTTATTATTATTATCATTATTATTATTTTATTAATGCTAAAATTATTCTTTTAAAGGGAGTGAAAATCAGTGGGAGTTCTACATATGTTTTAAAGTAGTAAGAACTCATAAATGCCTTAAAATTATTGATTTACAGATATCATATATGTTTAGGTCAATGGGAGTTAATAGGCTATTGATAAAGACATGTTTTAGATATAAAAGATTGGGAATTCAATTAATTCCAAATGTATTGAAAATAATCTCATGTTAAAACATTGAAAATTTTGTGTTATATAAACATATGAATATGAAAATTTGTTCATAATATAGTAATAATTTGTAAGTGGTTTATTAAAGTGACATCATGAAAATCCAAAAACAATTGTGGTTATCACATTTAGTATAAAGGTAGTTAATACATAATTTTGTTATGACTCCATTTATTGAAGTACTCCTTATTATTATTCAAAGTTTGATTGAAGCATGTTTATGATTCATTGGATCAGTTGGAGTCATTGTGATTTGATAAAATGATGACATATTTTTTCTATATGAGGATTATGGTATTACTAAGCTCATAATGTAGATATCTACAAGTATGGAAAAAGAACTTGTTAAGTTATTGGTTTTAGCATGGTAATGATGCATTGTAAAATTGCTTTTGAAACCATTGTTGCTTTGGGTTTTTTTACTTTATTAAATGTATTGCATGTAATTACTAATTACCTACAAAACATAGTTTGAGATGAATAACTCTATGAGATACCATCAAGTTAAATGGACACAATTATTTTATATATACATCATAGTTGTTATTTTATATATTTTTTTTATTGTATGTGCACATCTTATATTGATATGTCATATTATAAAGTTTTAAGACTTGGTATTTATCTTAAGTATGACTTTAATATTATTTGGATATATATCATAAATGATATCAGTAAGTAACCTTGAGGATAAAAAAGAGACATACAAATACATTTGGATGTCATGAAAATTTTTCAATAAGTTCAAAGAAATTAGCAAGGGGATTGACAATGAAAATAATACATTCAGATCACATTTATGTGTTATTTTCTTGCTACATACCACAATGAGATCCATTGTTGATGGAGTCTCTAGCACTTATAACTATAAATTAGTCTTATGTCAATAAAGGGCATAATGGCTATCATGGTTTGGTATTAGATGATTTTATTGGATATAATTATTAAGATGTTATCTCAAAAGCTAAATTATTTTTTAAAAAACTATAGCCGCATTAAAATAAAGTTAATCAGTCTGGAGCCTTAATTTCTAAATTATATTTTTTTTAAATAAAAAAATCCAATTAATATTGCGCAAATAAAAGAATGTTGAAATTTTCAATAAGTGGGCTATTATTAATTGGTGATTTTAATATTTAATAAAATAGATAGATAAATTTAGTTCTAATACGAGATAAATATGAGAGTCCAAATAATTAATTGTGATAACTTACATATGAATTTTGCACATTTTATTGGGTTAGTGTGATTTAACAGTTGTGTAGACCTTTTACACAGTAAACCTTTGATGGAGAGATTTATAAGATTTTAATATAAATTGATTAAAATTTCCTCTTCACTTTTAAATAATAGTATTTACTCATCGAAAGTCGCTAATAAGAGAAGAGTGAAAAGAAAAACTTAATATTTTTTTAAGAATTAATGTTACTTTCATTTATCAATTATATCTGACCAAATAAATGCACAAATGATCAAATTTAATATTTTAATATTTACTTATAATGTTTTAAATTTAAGATTTAGCTTATACGGGATACTAGTCAACAATATTAATAGGGACAAATACAAATATATATATATATATATATAGGTAAGTGACATAAACTGTTTATTTGAAATAGAGAACAACTTGCTTTATTTATTTATTTATTTTAGCCTATTAAACAACTTGTTAACGAGTAGTTACAATATTTTGTCAAAAAGTTGTCTAGCTCATACCTTAATTACAAAATAAACAGGTTTTTAATAGCAACAACTTTAAAAGGTTTTAGACATAGGTTCTTAATTCTAAATGAGTTACAACTTTTTTTATTAATTTTTTAAGGAAATGAGAGGGGGAACAAAAAATGCTATAGTATAAAATGAGAATATTTTACTGGCAATTTCTTTTATTGTAATTTTATAATTATTCAATTATAATAAAAATATATAAAAATCTATCACTTATAAATATGCACTTCATATAATATTTTGATAAATCTTACATGATTTTAAATTTTTATTAATTAATTGTAGTGCATTTATTATAGATAATATGCCTCCATTATAAAGTTAAGCATAAAATACAAGTGCAACTAAAGATTAAACCAAAAATAAAAACTTTTAATTTTTTCCTCATAAATAAACATGAATAAAGCTTTTATCCGTTACAAAATTTCAATTTGTATAATTATTAAAATCTTATCCATTGAAATGCTTGACAAAATTTTTGTCCATAAACATTTTTAATTTCTCAAGTGTTTAATTAATTTATTTCACATCACTATAAAAAAGTAGTATATTATTAAATCAAAAGTTTAAATAATTATTTTTTCCTTAATTTTTCAATTATTTCTCAAAAGTTTTCCAGTTTGGTATCATTAAAATCACGGTTGCTCAATTTCACTTAAAAAAAAAAAAAAAGAAAAACAAGGTTGATCACACAAAGATTTCATTACAAAAAAACATTTAAAAAAGATCACCAGTTCCCTACACCATCCTACTCACGTCGGGTCAAAACTTCCACTTGCGTTTACGTGATGACACCTGTTCAACAAAATTTTAACAAAGAGAAACTCCTAATGCAAAGACAAATTAACAAGGCATTACGTGGCGGTGTGAGGTAGAGAATAGGGACGGAATTCGGTACTAGCGCGAGTGAAGAGAACGGTGATCAGCGGTTTTGTGTAAAACGCGGGTGAAAAAGGAGCAGAGTCAAGGAAAGAAAGGAAAAGGAAAAGGAAAAGGAAAAAAAGAAGTTGGTGGGTTTTGGATGGTTGGTTTTTATTCTTTTTATTTTGTTTTTGTGGAGAAGAGAAAACAACGCTCTTTTCTTCTATCAAAAAAATAAATTCAAAAAATAAAAAAAAGCAATTTTTTTTAGAAAACAAAGGAAGACCTTCCGCGAAGAAAAGCTCTCTTTTTAGTTTTTTTTTTTTTATTCCTTTCTAAAAAAAGTAACCGTTTTTTGGTTTCTCTGGGTTCTGTTGGGAAGGAAGGGAGGGGAGGTGTTTTGCTAAAGTGACAGCGTGGTTTGTGACATGGGAATGAGAATTCCGGCGTGGAGGTGGTGCTAACGTGACAGTATTGGTGATGGAGGAAAGTGGCTGCTGAATGGAATTCTCATTCGATGCCGGAATTCCGATGTCCCGAACAGCAGCGGCGGCGGCGGCGGCGGCTGTCACTGAAGGAACCTCGCTATCACCGTCGTTGAATCAAGGTCTCTCTGTATCTTTGTTTATTTCTTTATAACTGTTTTTTTTATTATTATTGTTATTTTATTTTTTGTTTTTTACTTTGGGAAACGCTTGAGAAACGCGGTTCACTTGTCTATGTTTGCTATTTTACTGTCTTGAACTGTCCTTTTTGTCCATTTTATGGTAAACTCCGGTTTGATCATTATTAAAAATCAGTCATTTTTTGGTTAAACTTTAATTAAGAAATTATGTAAATTTTGAATTTTAATGATTAATCTTAAATTCTTAATTGCGTTTCAGTTATTGAGAAAACAGTGCAATTTTGCGGTGCTTTTGAATAGATTGTTGCAATTGTTGTTGTGGAGATATGGATGAATGTGAGATTCCACGTTCTTAATTTTTTTAAAGTCAGATTCAAGGTTCTAGGAAATAAAATGAAATTGAAAATTTTGTGTTATAGGGCTTTTTCTTAATTGATTTTTTTTTTCATTTATTGCTTTATTACTGAAGTATAGTTTTTTTTTTTCCATATATTTAAGTAATATCATGAATTTCATCATTAAAAAAAGGATATTCAAGTAATCTTATCTCTGTATCTTTCAATGAATTTGATTTCATAGTGGTGAAATTTGAGCTGCATTAATTTTCTACATATGAAATTATGAGATGTTTAGTTTCAGCAAGTGCAATTGCTTTGTATATGGTCGTTTTAGTTTGTCTCTTTTTACATCTTTTTGTCACTGTTTCATTGTAGGTTGGTTCTTCATTTTCTCCTTGAATGTTCGTGGAATGCAATTAGGAAATAGTAGCAAATAGGTTTTAGACTAAACAATCCTTTTCCTCTCTTTTGTGAAGTTTAAAATTTGGCATTTGCCTGATTTTTTGTTATAAGATCAAGAAGAATACATTGTTGCAATATAATAATTTACCTTATATTTTCTATTTTCCTTTTGTCATTTCTTTGAAATTCATTTCAAGAGTAAAAATGCAGTCTTTATTTTATTTTAAAGCAAAAAATTGGGATTGATGATCAAATATACTTAGATTTCTCCTTGTTTACATGTATATGTACTATGGTCATCATACAGGAAGAGGTACACATAACTTAAGAGTCATGACTCACGATTCTCCTATGGGTTCATTTGGTTTGTGACAGACATAAAAGAGAAGAAAATATAAACCTTGTCTTATTTTCCTTGTTCTTTAGACCTACCTGCTCATCTTGCTATGCATTATTTTTAATATTTTGGCACATTTTTTGGAAAGGGTAAAGAAAGGAGAGAGAATGGGTGGAGGTAGAAGGTGAGGGAGAGTGGGTAAGGTTCCTTTTGCTTGGAATTCTTAAAAAAGAATATGGAAAGTCAAGGAACAAGTATGTTGCCATAGTGACTAGAAAATGAAATGATAGCTTATCATGTTTCTTTAACAACTACATAGTATATAAGTTATATGTTAAAATGAAAATGTAACAAAAGTGCAACTTTGTCTGTACAATAAAAAAATTTTAATGAGGAATTCCTTCCATCCAAAGCCCTCAAACTTGGACGGTATAAAAACAAATGGAGAGTTGGAGGTTCTGAGTACTCGTCCAAATCTCTCTTTCTCTATTAAAATGTTTTCAAACAAGGGAAAAGCATCACTCCATCTCCCTTCTGCTCAATCCAAACATAGTCTATTCATATATCGGATACTACATGTGATTTTAAGAATCATATTAGCTCTTCAGATATAAATTATATTGTTGCTTATTTAACTTGAAAATGGACTGTTCATGTTAAACACATATAATTTTAATTCAGAGAATCCATAATAAACAAGCTTATTCTAGACATAATAGTTTGTCTCAGGTTCCAAAATGGTGGAGAATAAAAGCTCTTTTCTCTGAGTACCATTCTCTTCAATTAACCTAATGTTCAGCTTTCTGGTAGCATTTTCTTCAATATGGATTGATCACTTTAACAATTTTTCTTCAACTTAGTCCCTATTGAACTATACTCTTTTACCCTTTCTATTTTTCAGTTATCTTGTATAGGATGCTACTTTTAAGAACCATATTAAGTGTATTGAAGACATATTCTAAGATAAAGTATACTTTTAGTTAACAAAATATTGCTACATTTATTTGTTTTTTAAACTTTTTGCAGTGAGCATAGTTGACCTTTATGCTTCCTTCAGATGCTGAGTTTTTGAAAATGAAAATTTCTCTTCTTGGTGTAAACATTCTCAAGTTAGTTGAGAGCAGTTTGGATCTTGAAAAGGAGGAAAAGAACACAAAAAGTTTTGTAAAGGTCTTTTTTTGAGGCCTTAGAAAAAATAGAATTCATTCTCAAGTTAGTTGAGAGCATTTTGGATGTTGAAAAGTAGGAAAAGAACATAAAAAGTTTTGTAAAGGTCTTTTGTTGAGGCCTAAGAAAAAATAAAATTGCATTCTCAAGTTAGTTGAGGCATGCAAAAGTCAAAGGTTAGAATGAGATTTCTTACTGCGGCTTGTCAGAAGCTTGTGTGTTAAAGATATGTTTTCCCGGTCCCACATATTTCATGGAAATTCTCAATCGTTTGCACTTTGATGCTCTCACTGTTAGAACATCAAGCGAGTCTATTTTCAATGAAAGGGATAAATCTATGATACTTTGAAGCTAATAAAAATTGAAATTTAGAGTATTTTATGTTCCAGGAAAATTGTTTATGAATTGAAAATTTCTGATACCCTTCTGTAGTTCTTTGACTTCTTTTTTTCATGTATTTTCTGAACCTACAACTCATTTAATATTATTTCAGATGCTATGTGGCAAATGAACTTGAGATCCGGTGAAATAATGGAATCTGGTCCCTACCCTGAGCATCCTGGAGAACCAGATTGTTCTTATTATATCAGGACAGGCCTTTGTAGATTTGGGGCAACATGTCGTTTTAATCATCCTCCTAACCGAAAGCTGGTATAAAGCTGTGGCTTGTTTGGACAATTCTTATGAATTCAGAGTTAATGATTGAGATATTATTGGTAAAATTGTGAAGAGCTTCTAAATTTAACCCATTTTAGAAGCCTTTTATTATTATCATATTCATAATATTGGAAGTTGAAGTTGTAGACACGTGAGCCTTTTACACATGGATCTTTACTACTAAATCACTCTAAAACAGAACTCGTTGTAGGAAAATTTATAGAGTATTAGATGCTCAAGAGATAAGCATGGTTCTTTATATGCACACATGAATACACATGCTGCTACAACTATGGGTATACTACACCTGCTACTGTCATTTCATTTTAACTTTATCCTACTACTCATTTGAGTTTTTAATATCAATTGTCATTCGAAATATTTATTTAGATTATATCAAATTCCAGGCTATTGCTGCTGCTAGGATGAAAGGAGATTTTCCAGAAAGAGTAGGACAACCCGAATGTCAGGCATGTATTTATTCCTTGGGCCCTGATGTAACAACAATATTGCTGCTTTTATATATGTGCCTTACAATTTGCAATGTATGATTAACTTGAAGTATATTACTTTTATGTATCTGAAAAAGGAAATTTATTTTATTTGTTGTGTCTTGGAGATTTCACCATCAAAACAATGGGTCAAACATTTTAATACTTTGGTGAATGCTATTATTTTAACTTGAATATTCTAGATTGATTGTGGATGTTTCTCTAAGAATTCAATATGCTGTTATTGGTGAATTCATATGGATTTGTTCACATATGGATGATGCACTAGAATTAAACAAGTGTTCCTCTTCTTTTAAAGTTCTAAATAATGAAGCAAGGATTACTTTCCGGTTTATAAAAAAATCCTAGTATAAGAAAATAAACAAATAAAGAAACTGAGAAAATTGAAATATGCTAATAATTTGGATTGATAAAACATTACTTCCCTTTGTAGTGATTGACTTCTGCTAATATTTGCTTTATTCTTGTATGTTGTTTTCAGTCTTTCTATTCTAGAAAAGCAAGATAGCACTGACTCTTGCATTTATTGCATTGGAAGCTAAATTGCAATATTGAGAGAAGCTACTCTTTTGTTTTTACTGCTTCATGTCAGATATGCCACTCTATATTTCTCATTTTAAAGAATATTTGGATCTGATAACTGACATTTTGCTCTTAACTGCTCTATAGTACTACCTGAAAACCGGAACTTGCAAATTTGGAGCTACATGCAAGTTTCATCATCCTAGAGACAAAGCTGGGATAGCTGGGAGAGTTTCGTTAAATATTTTGGGCTATCCTCTTCGCCCGGTTCGGATTTCATTTTTTTTTCCTTTTTACTTCTTGCTATATTCTTTTATAATGATACAAATTTTAAGTCAATATTCAGGTCTAGTCCTGTTTCATTTTCAAACAAAAATAACAATTTTTTTAATTGGATTAGTTTAGAAAAAATGGAAATTGATACCACTCCAGTTAAACTGGTCCAATTGGATTAAAGTGGTGATAAAAGTAAACCTCACATCAGTTAAATTGAGGGCATCCTGGGCAACAAATGTGACAAGGGATACTCCACCTATTGCCAATTGGTTTTAGGTTGGATGCCCATAAAAAGTTTAACAAATTATATAGTCTTATTGACTGAATGTATATCATTATATGCAATATGAAAGATACACAGACATAGACAAGGATCGAAGTAAAATGTTTATCACTTGCTATGTCTCAAACAGAACCTTTTGTCTTTTAAATTTTGAGTTATGAATTTGTTTTAACTTTAAATATGGGTTCCATGAATGAAAATATTACTGAATTTTGGACCATAGCTGTCCTTAAGATTGAGGTTGAATTGTTATATACGTTTGGACCTTGTTAAGGCAAGCTTTTCTAATGTGGTTTTTTTTTATGGTTATAGGGGTTTTATAGGCTTAATGTAACTTATTTTCGTTTTACTTTTCTTCCATACAGAATGAGACTGAGTGTGCTTATTATCTAAGAACTGGACAATGCAAGTTTGGGAGCACTTGTAAATTCCACCATCCTCAGCCAACTAATATGATGGTTTCATTGCGTGGCTCTCCTATTTATCCAACCATCCCTTCTCCAACCACTCCTGGTCAGCAGTCATATCCAGGAGACATTACAAATTGGTCAAGAGCATCTTTCATTCCAAACCCCCGCTGGCAAGGCCCTTCAAGTTATGCACCTTTGATTTTACCCCAAGGGATGGTATCAGTTCCAGGCTGGAATGCTTACAGTGTAAGCTTTTCCTTAGCTTATTACTAATGCTGTGTTTATTAAACATGCCTATTAGTTTTTAGTGTTTACATGTGTTTGGACAACATTAAAGGTGACAAGTGAGGCAACTTTTGAGAATTATAGTTGTCCATATGCTAATACTTTGTGCTTGGAAAACAATAATACTTGTCTCTTAAGTCCAAAGGTGCTCTAATATTTTCGAAGAAGCATTATCAACCTTCTTCTCTAAGGTTTGTTTTACGGTTGATCACCATTTATCTTTTGCTGGGCCTGAATAAAATGCATTTGGAGCAGGCTATTATGGTGCAATTTCAACCAATGACCTTTTTATCTCCCTCTAACGAGCCTTGTTCTTATCTTGGTTACGATTGCATAATAATAATATTTGATGAGCTTTATTTGATGGAGCTAATGTCCAGAAGCCATGAAACTGTAGTTTTATGATGGTCGTCATTAACATGAAATTAGTGGCATTTGGGTAGGCATTAAGGGAACCTAGAATTAAGTCTGATGGAAGTGGGCTAAAACCTTAGGGATGACAAGTAGACAGTATTGGTGCTGTTAGCAGGGGTAGTGTATTTGTATTGCTTTTTGTTGTTGGAGACACTTGTGGTTGGCTGATGACATGCTCGAACAAGTATGATTTATTTCAGTTTTGGTTGATATTCTGAAGGAAACTATTCAGGCCTAAAAGTTAAACATTACCATCTTTTCTTATTATGCTTATTAGTAGGTTTTATGGTTTAGAATCAAATAAGCATGTCAAACTCTGGGTCAACTCCTATCAGCAGGTGAGTTGGATTGAAATTTAACTCTTAATCAGAATCATTTCGTTTGCTGATTGTGCTTTTTGGTAAAAGTAAACATGAAGTGAAAATTTTGTTTTAAAACCACATCTCTGATTGTTAAATTACTTTACAATTTAGAAATGAGAGCGAAATTGAATCTGAAAATTTTCAGAAATTACTTATTTGATTAGCTGCTTGGTTCTGCAAAAACCGCTAGTCTATGTCCTTGTGAGTCCATTATCAACTATATCCTATAAATCAGAACTTGTCCACAAATGAATTTCTATTGATGAACAAATGTTTTATGGTAATGTTACAGTTGCGGCTATCTCCAGAGCAGAGTTTTCTAGCGGTTTGGTCCAAATGGTTTGATAGCATCTCTAGCTTTGTAACTTTATCAAAATGCCTGAGAGCATACATCTACTCTGTTTGTTTGTTGCTGTTTATATTTGGTTATACAGAATTTGATTTGTAAGTTTATTTTCACTTTGACTAGCAAGCATCCATGCAGTGTGTAACTCATGATCTTTGAAAAGTGCTACCATTAATTATTCCAAAACGAATGAAGAGATGTGCTACCATTCTAATACTTTTCATTTCTCCAGGGTCAACTGGCATCAGTTTCTTCTTCTGAGAACCTACAGCTGGCAAATGGAAATAATCAAATCTATGGAACCTCACGCCAGAATGAATCAGTGGCTGCAGAATCTCAGGCGTCCTTTTCTCAATTTCGTTCTGGATCTGTCCCTGTAGGTTTTTATGCATTGCAGAGGGAGAATGTATTTCCCGAGAGACCTGGCCAGCCTGAGTGCCAATTTTACATGAAGACTGGAGATTGTAAATTTGGTGCAGTTTGTAGGTTTCATCACCCAAGAGAGAGAGTTCTTCCTGCCCCTGATTGTATGTTGAGTCCTTTAGGCCTTCCTTTACGTCCGGTGAGTGAGTTATGTATTCAGTGGTAATTCTGTCTTTCAATATACTTCTGAATATTTATCTGTTCAATTATTAGGGCTGTTTATGAAAAGCCTAGTCTTCAGGCTACTTAAAATGTCATTCCTACCTATTACCTTACATGACCTTCTCTTTTTCTTGAAATAGTTGATTTCATTTTTCCTAATTGTTGGGTTCTAGTTGCAGGCCAAGCTAATAATTTCTTTTTTTTTTTTTTTTAATGTTAGAAAATGGATATTTGCTTCGATACTCTTTTTGGGCAATTGGTCATTCTGTGGTTGCCATTAGATTAAAAGAAATTAGCATAAAAAAGTTGTTGCTTATTGACATAGGAAAAAGGATGATCTCCTCGCTTGTTTATTTGGGTTTAGCAAATAAGGATTTTAGGGGTTATGTTTGTGGATCAAAAGGTCTAAGGTTATTGGGGAGTGGTTGAGTTTTGATAGTGAAAAAGTGCTGGAATCAAGAATTAGTTCACTGCAATTTTCTGCAGCTACTGTACTAATGGGTATATTTGCCACACTGAAGATAGGAGGTGCTGGATGCCATCAATTCTAGGATGGCTAGGGTGGTTGAATGAGGATTTTATGGTTAAGAGGAGCAGCACCATCGGAATCCATCTTGATTAATGTAAAATAAATAAAATAAGATGTTACCCTGTTAAAGCTATTTTGAATCAAATTTTTATGATGCAGGCATGAGTCATGGAGGACAGAGCATTGGAGGAAGAACTTATTTTATTGCTGTTTTGATTTAAGTTTTTTTTTTTGGTATTTCCAAATTCAAATTTAGGGTTAGTTATGTGTGTGGAGAAATTATTACATAGACCTAAGGGTGTAAATGATACGTTAGTACTCGCAAGCTACTCAGATTCGATTCAAAGAAAACTCGAATTCGATTCGATTGTTATCGAGTCGAGCTCGAGTAGCTCGACTCATCGATCGAGCCGAATTCAAGTATTCTTATACCTGGCTCGAATAGGTCGCGAGCCTAATTGAGCTTTTATATTTAAATATATTTTTATTATTTTAATTAATAAAATATCTCGAATTCAAGTTCGAGCTCGAGTATAAATAATCAAACTCTTATCGAGTATACGAATCGAGCTTATTTTTATATATTAATCGAACTTAATCGAATGAGCTTGAGTAGCTCGATTTCGATCACGAATTGAGCTCAAGCTAGGAAAATGAAACTCGATTGAGTATCGAGCCGTGAGTTGGGAGTCAAGCTTGAGCTCGAGCTTCTCATTGTATCGGCTCGACTCGGTTCGGTTACACCCCTACATAGACCCCTCCTATCACGTCATCCATAGACCCATCCAATATTATATTTTCATGTCATCATATTTTTCCATGTTAGATTTACCAAGCCAAGTAGGAAAATACCTATTCTAATAGAGTTTAAACACAAACAGCAAAAACACAAACGACTTAGTGTGGGTTAAAACTCAGCAATGAAGAAGTGAGTGAAATCAAACACCAAATGAAGAAAGTGAACAGAAGAGACAACAATAGGTTATTGGTGGCTTATGTAAGCACCAAATTTACAAAAGACCAAATCCACAAATTGACCAAAAAAATTGAGATATAAGAGGAAGCATTGTGGTCTGGAAAGATAGAGAGAGAGGAAGAAGAAAAGAAGAAAAAAAAGAAAAAGTAATAGGACAAAAAGGATTTGAAACCAGCTTCATTGTACCCCTAGTTGTTGTCTGACATTGCAACCCTGCTTTCTGCCTTCCCCCATTGGTTTTGGACAAAAAAGGGGGAAATTGTTCTTGATTTCGGTGAAACCTTGGTGCACTTTGATCAGAAAAAGAACAGAGAAGGAGATTGAAATGACAAGCAGAATAGATAAGTCATAAGTGCACGTGGTTGGGTTTTCTTGCCCTTTCAAGTATTTTTTTTTTTCCTTTTAATTATCTTTGGGTTTCTGTTAGAAGACAAAAAACACAATTAGAATATTAGAATAATATAGATTAAAGTAAAAGGCCAAAATACAGATATATTTGTCTAAACTTTTTAACAGGATAAAAGTGATGAAACCCAAATCTAGTTTTCTTAAATTGGAATTTTCATATCAGTTTTGAAATTTCAATTTTCATATACTATTTTTTATAATATTCTTGTAGAACAGATCCACTATATATCTTATTTTCAGACTCTCCTTAGCCTAGTCTGCTAGTCTGAAATTTTGGAGGGGAGTCAGACCCTTGGATACATATCCATATTGGATAGCCATAACTGAGTCCATCCATGTAACATAGGTTACAAGGTTATCATTCAAGTTTACTTCCTTATATCATTCTTAATTACTGTGCCTTGATTTCTTATGGTAGAGAGCTTTATCATGTGCACTGATTTTGAAGCTTTCATGTTGTTCAGATTATATATTCACTCCTAGAATGTTACTATTTTGACTTTTTTATTTTCATTTTTACATACCAAGATTAGAATGTTTTGCTTATCCATTATCCTTCTTACATATTCATTCTGGTTTGAGGTTGGGTTTTGTTCTCATCATTTTTGTCTTCCTTGCAATATTCCCATTGAGTGCATGTGGTTAATTTATGAGGAAAGGTTCCGTACTATGTGTAGATGTTCTTTTACAACATTGCTATTTTTATTCTTTTGTTACTGGATTTTTTTTATATTATTGATATTGGTACTTTTGCATTTTAACAGGGAGAACCTTTATGCATTTTCTATTCTCGATATGGAATTTGCAAGTTTGGTCCAAGTTGCAAGTTTAACCATCCTATGGGAATTTTCACATATAATTACTCCGCATCATCTCCATCTGATGCCCCAGTTCACCGTTTCTTGGGGTCATCTTCAGGTACTACTGGGTTAATTCTCTCATCAGAGGGGCTTGTTGAAGCAGGCTCTACAAACCCCAGGCGGCTGTCACTCTCTGAGAATAGAAAATTGTCTTCCAGTGATGATAATATTGATACGGAGGGATAAAAATTGCAACAAGATATGGGCTGATTACCTTTGACAATCTTTTGGTGGATGAGGAAGAATAATCTGTAAATTCATTTCCCATTGTTGAAGATGTACAGAGTTCATGTCAAGTTGATTCTGTTCTTTTAAAAATATGCAATTCAGTCAACAGTTGCATCTTCTGAATTTCATAATCCTGCACTGTATAAAGCTGAAAATGATGTCACATTTGGTAAAACCCAATGTGAACAGTTCTTCTGTCCCAAACTGTTTCTTCTTTCTGATTTTTGCGTTATGTTTCTTTCACAGAATGTTATACGAGGCATTTCTTTTGCAGTTTTTAAGCCTCTGCCTAGATTTGTGGTGAATCTTCAACTAGCTGCTCTGTTTAACATTTCCAGTCTAGGCCCAGGCTTTCAAATACTGGTTGAGTAATTTTCTGCCACCCTGAGTTGTTTGTACACTATAGCTTCATCATTCATATCATACTTCCTCTTCGCTTTTTTCTTCTTGGACCTGACATGTGCTGGCATTTACTAATATCAGCTTTGTTTCTTGAGGTAATAATTACTATATTTGCTAATATTGATCAATCTTGAGTTATTCTCAAACTTGATTCTTGTATTGATAATTTTATTTTTCTTCTTAATTATGTGTGAGAAATTTCCAAGCAGAAGTATAAATGAATATACATTTATTCTACTGTAAAAAGAAGTGGAACAGTGCCATCTATATTTTTGTTAGGTGAATTCTTCCGACTCTTTGAAGTTCCTGGAGATCTTACTTCATGATAGATGATTCACTGAAGATGAATTTGTAAGTCACTCCAACTGAATCTCATGTTTTATAAGATTAGTTTATCTTTACCAAGCATCATACACTTGTCCTTGCAAGAGGCTTTTGAAAATAGTAGAGAATCTTTAAAATATTGCTCAATAAAAGGTTCCAAATTTCTATTAAATATCCTTGACAAAATGGTATTAGGTACAATTTCATTCAAGGAAAGTTGTGTTTTTATTCATTTTTTTTTTTTTCTATTTAATGAGAATAAGTTCTGTAATTATTTGAAAATTTACTAGCTCAAGATGCAAGAAGGTTGTACCCTCCTTTGGGGTGCCAGTTTTGCTTAATGCCAATTTTAGATGTGTCTTTGTGATTCTGTATTTCTATGCCTCTTGGCATTCATGACCAACTAATTCAATGTAGTAATGTCCGCTGAATCTCTCTGGAAAGTTTGTTTGCTTTGCTCTGAATTGTGGTATTGCTTATTGAATAGGGAGAGAAAAAAGTGGGAAAAAGAATTGGTTGAAGAGGGGGGGGGGGGGGGGGGGGGCAGGATTAGATAAAGAACAACTCTGGGTTTGTGAACTTGCATTTTTCTTCCATTTCTGTTCATCATCATGGTGTCGAAGAATTTCTGTTCATCAACATGTAGTGTCTTCTTTTGTGTTTCATTGCAACTTTGGTAGTTTAGTTTTGTGATTAGAGATATTATTATATTACTGGCTATAGAATGCTTGAGATGCTTGTATATGCTATTTTCTTTTATACCACATGTTCTGAAATATTTTTTCCATTATCCGAATAACAGTTTGGATCATTCATTTTTTTAATCTAATTGAGTACACTAGATCATGCATTTTGATTGTAGATCAAGGACAACAGGGTGCTTATTGGATTAAAGCTCACATCAAGAAGAAGCTAATGTTGCTAATTTTGATTTCATGATTACTATTGTGCTTGTTCTGTGGATTTTTGTCATCACTGTTTGGTTTGGAACATCTGATTTTTCTTTTTTTTTTTTTTTTTGGTGTGAAAAAGTTTAGGGTGAGGGGATACTTCTCTATTTCAAGGCGCTCGACAGACCACAGGACTCTAAAGGGATTTACATTGGATTTTCATCAGAGCATCTGATCTTTCATGTCGATTACAATCTTATTTCCTTTGACTTAGAATTATCATATTTGGTTCACCTTGCATTTTTTTTTTCAATCTGATTTTTTTTTAATCTTAGATGTTTGAGTTTATTTCGAAATTTCGACTTAAAAGTGAAATGCTTGGAAAAAGCCCTCTGCAAACTGGGATTAAGGGATGAACATGCAGCTGCATTTAGTTGCGGGATGGCACAAAAATTCATGTCGAAGTTAAAGAATAAAAATTGATTAAGTGGCAAAGAGGCTGGGCCCTACCCAATGGCAGACATGACCCAAGCAATTAAGTTCATGTTTCATCTTCCCACTTCAGGATTTTATCTCTCATTTCTTAGGCGATTTTCTTTATTGTTTTGGTTCTCTCTGCATTATGAAAGAATAGAATAGCAAATATTGTCAATTAAAATAATAAAAGAAATAATGAAATAATTATTATGGTACTTAATTAATAATAATTTGCTATGGTCATAATAATAATAATAATAATAACAATAATAATTTTTTGATACAAAAAGAGAATGCTTGAAAATAAGACAATTAATTATACATATCAAAAATTAAAATTTATATTTATTAAATATTATTTTTTAAAAATAACAGTATGAACCAATTGAATGAAGTGTTCTATTAATCAAAATAATAATAATAATAATTTTACAAATCTTACTCTCCAATATTTAATTGGTAAGGAATGAGCAAAAGTATGGATAAGGAGTTTTGGAGAATAAAAAATATATAAGGTAGCGCTTGGTTTCAGAAAATTTCTGTTTTTATTTTCTTGGAAAATGAAAAACATAAGTGAAAATGTGATTGATAATAAAAAATGAAAACAAGTTTTTTGAAAACAAAAATGAAAATAGATTGAAATATGAAAACAAAAAAAAGGTTTTTTTCAATTATAAAAATAAGAAATGTGCATTACTTTTTTTTTTTTTTATGTTTTGCAAGTTACCATATTTGAATACTTTTTAATGTTATTAATTAATTAATATATATTATATTTATAATTAGATGACATTAATAATAATATTATTGAATATTTTATTTAGTTTCTTATTTTTGCATTTTCAAAAAATAATTTTTATTTTCACTTACAAATACATTTTTTAGAAAACAAAAAATAAAAAATAAAAACTATTTTCTAGAAAATAAAAATAGACGATTTCTTCTATTTTATTTCATATTGCCTTTATCTCTTTACCAAATATGGGCTTGGTGTATGATATAATGCTGAAAAAAAAAAAGACAATTTTTTCTAAGATTTGGTATGATAGAATTGTGCAAAAACAGATATTTTAAGTTAAAATATAGGAGATTTTGAGAGAGCTTGAGTTTGATGATAGGATTTATATTTGATTTATTATCAGTGTATTATTATTAGTGAATCATAAAGTGATATTTCATAAAAATTATTTAATTTTAAATATATTTTTAAGATGAAGTGTGTTTATTTTTAAGATTTTAAAAATTTAAAATTAATTTTTTATAAAATATCATTATATGATTAATTGACAGAATATAACATATATACATTAATAATTAAAATACTGAACTTTTTTATTATAAATTAATGATTGGCTTAAAAAAAAATGCTTTAGCCTTTAACTAGTTCTATAAAGACTAAGATGCCCCTATTCTATGTTTGCCATATAAAAATTAAAAAGCCACTTTAAGAATTATATTATCGAAGAGCGAATAAATCATTAATAGTTATCTCATATAATTATGAATATATATTTTATTAAAATATTATACAGAAACACTTATAAATGAATATATTTATGAGTTAAGTAGAATCAATTCAATTGACATTTTAAAATTTTTTTTCAAAATTCAATTTATCGAATTTGAAAGGCTTCAAAGTTTTGTAAGTATATACCAAAATATAATAAATATAATAAAATAATAACATTGTAATATATTTAAAATTAAAATTAAATATAAATTAATTTTTCCTTAAGCAAATAATATTTTAGATTGAACTAAGGTCAAACTTGAAAAATTTTATTTATACTTTGACTTGATTTTGATCGGATTCATCAAATAAAACAGATAATCAGATTCTTAAATAAGTATATATAAATATAATAAATTTTTACAATTATTTTGTAATTAGATAATTAAAAAAATTAAAAAAATTATAAATAATATACTCTCAAATTTATTTGTTTTTATTTTGTATCATAGTCAAGCATATATAACATAATTAAATATACTTAAATAAATAAAAAGTCATGTTTGAATAAAAAGTTTGAATATAATAAAATAAAATTCAAAATTAAAAAAAATAATATTTTACCTTATGTCCAGTTGATAAAAGATTAAATAAAAAATTGAAAGTACCCATTTGTTTTTTTTTTTTCCTTTCAGGGTGTTTATTTGCAAAAGGATTGACTTTGGTCGACTTCTAGCATTTGGTGTTGTCAACAGTAATGTGTTTGAGATATTTCCACTTCTTCAAATATTGTTTGATGTTTATGTTTGATAAGATATATAGCTTTTTTAATTCGTACAACGCAAGAGATTTTTATTAAATTTTATATAATTTTAAATTTATTTTTCAATTAATTTTAATTTTTTATATTATCTTAATACAAAATACAAAATTTTATTGATCTAATATATAATTATGTATTCATAAATGTTAGGGTATAATTAAATGATAATTTACAAATAATATATTATAAATGATTATGTTCATTTAAAAGAAATCTAAACTTTTATAAATTTTCAAGAATTATAAAACTCTTTTTTTTATATAAAAAAATATTTTCTTCAATTCATTTGTTAAACACTAAAAATTTTGCAATTGCTTCTCTTTTATTTGATAAAAAAATAAAAAAATCAATCTTTAAATAGTTAAGATTAATAATTGTTTTTATGATAAAGTTGAAATGGATATATATATATATATGTCATAAAGATTTTTCGTTCGGGAGACTCAATTATTAGACTTGGTGAAAATTTTTAGATATGTCATTAATCTTTTTTATAAGGTGTGATTAGTCATCTAAAAATATTATCTTTTAATAAAATCTTAAAATTAAGTAAGATTTATTAAAAGATGTTTTAGTTTATGAAATAACAGTTGGATTTGGGAGTTGATTACGAGTAAAAAAAAGTATTAACACTTTCATATCATTCGTTCAAAAAATGGTGCCTATTAAATATATGTAATCTTTTAATTTTGACGATATAGTCTTCTTTATATTTAAATTTAATTTTTTAAAATTTATTTATGAAAAACATTTTTAAATTTATTTATGAAAAACATTTTTTGTTTTAAAGTTAATATCATTATTATTTTCGTATTCTATAGATACTTTAACGCTTTGACCTAATTTATAAAAAAATATTTATTTAGAAAAAATTTTTAAAAAATTGATCATTCATAAAATTCTTGAAAATTCATCAAGGGATAATATATTTATTTATTAAAATTGATTTTAGGATTATCTCAATTCTTTGGTGAAATCCTAAACTTTATTAGATTAATTTTAGAATTATCTTGACTCTTTGATGAAATTTTAAATAGATTTTAAGATTATCTTAACTTTCTAACAAGATTTTAAATAATTTTTTTAATATAATAATTAGGAAACTCAATTAAATATTTAATTAATTTTTATTGTGATTACTTTTCTTGTTTTATGTTATTATTTTATTATTATTATTTAAATAAACCTTTATTTAATAAATCTTTTTATGTTTTTTTAAATTGTTATAACTCTGTGGTGAAATCCAATATATATATATATATATATATATATTTGTAATGATTAAGAGATTTATATAAAGAAATATTTTTATTTTTATTGTTTTTTTCATTATTATTTAAATAAATATTTATTTAGTGAAAAATAATTTTTAGATTATCCCGACTCACCCTCAAATTTTAAAAATATTTTTTATTTTTTTACTTGTATTAATTAAAGAAAAGTAACTTTCTTTAAAAATTATATTTTTAGAAGATTTATTTAAATAAATAATTGTGATTAGTATTTTTTATTTTTATTTTTTCAACAAAAATAATTTTTTAAATTATCCCAACACCTTGGTGAAATTCAAGAAATATTTTTACTTGAAAAATTATAGAAAATAAAACTCCTTTATTTTTCCTTAATATTATTATTTTATTATTATTATTATTATTATTATTATTTTGTTTATCCTTTTATTTTTAAATTAACATCTTAGTATTTATTTATTTATTTATTGTTTGTTGTTATTGATAATTATTTATTTTTAGTAAATATATAAATATAAATATTATAAATCATAAATTGTAAAAAAATCTTAAACAAATAATAAAAATAAAATAAAATTAGAAAATAAAAATAAAATGAAAAAAGAAAA